ATCGCTGATTGTGACTCTCATGAAGTGAAATAAACAGGTTTAATATGTCAAACACATTCTTTGCAACCTTTTCTTGTGTCTTACCAATTCGAAATATGATCAAAGCAGCTAATTATTTCATAATTAAAAAAGACATTGTTTTAGCTTAAATGAGTATTTGCAACCTTGGCCACAGGTCGACTGCGTTAACCCTTAAACTAGTATTTTGGCACAAAAAATGCCAGAATAAAGAGTCGAATAGCTATGAAAAACCAAATCGGGCGTTTTGCCCTGAGTGCGTTTGTCCCCTGTTATACCCTGCCTAAAAATCTTAGAATCTTCATTGTTGCATTTCTAACTGGACTCGTATACAGTGCGGAATCATTAATAAAAGTGTGTGAACATCGTTTTAGTACGACCTATGTACGTCCAAATGAAAAGAACCCGTTTTTTCTTACCGTTGTAATAATTATCATCGTCTGTCACTCGGTCTATCATATGGCACCCAATGTTCAGTAACGTCATCGCAGAAACTAGGTTTACGAAATAAGCATTCGGGTTTCGGCTCCTGACCAATATCGTGTTCTCCAGTTTGCATCCCAACATACAAAGAATGGCAGCCCTACTTTTGCTCAATAAAACAGATGAAATTATCCTTAACATTGCTCATGGATTCATTTGGTGAGTTCGTTCCTATTTATTAATTCACTTGTGATGATGATCGTCAACAGCGTTGCATAGCCAAAAACAGTTGCAGAATTAGGTGAGAGCTTTCCATTTATTTGATTTAAATAGTTGTAAATTTAACTGCAAACACATAGACAAACAAATATCATTTGATGTTCTGTTTAAAGTCACCTGTGTACGCTACAATCAGCATAAGTTTACCAAGTGGGCGGTTAATCATGCTCATGCTGATGCTCATGCAAGTAGTCACTTACCCAGTGCTTCGAAATCAGGTTGGCATCATTGCCACAGCACGGTGACGCCATTATCGTGGGTGCAGAGTGGATTGACACTATTGAATGACCACAGGCAGAAGTGATTCTGCTAGCGTACTAATCAAATTCCAGTTCGACATGGTCAAATTACCCTGTATCAAAGGAATTCAGAAGTACATTATTTGGTATGGATCCCTAGGACATCCCTAGGAGTAAATGAAAACGAGGAAACAGCATATTTTGCAGCCTTTGGCAAACTAGCAAGCTGCTACATCTAGGAGGTCCCTGTCCTGGATCTTCATCATTGGCTCGTGATCACAATATTAAACTGCTGAAAATGCAGAATGCTTACAGTCAGGAAATCATTTCTTCCGGAGGATTAAGGGGATACCAGGAAATGGCTAGACCCACCATTGAGGAGGATTGGCGACATAGCCTGATCGCAAGGGCGTAGTTCCACATGGCCAGATGTCAACAGGCGCTATTAAGCCGACTGTAACTAGGCCCAAGGGGTCACTAGGTCAAATGACTCAAATGAGTAATTTAACTGATTTTTAAATTTGTGTCAAACTGCATAAGTGATTTTCAAATTTGCATGGTGAATAGCATATTCCGAATTGACTTGATAATAGTGACAAGAATCGGATAGTGATCACCGCCGTTATGAATTTCTATATTGTAGAGGAAATGCAGGTAATGTCGGCCTAAGTGTCCCTAATTTGGGCCCATACATAAATTCAGCAATCGACTAAATTTTCAATAGCAATCCAAAATATCCACACCGAAAATAAAATTTCGTTTATACCTCACGCAAACCAAAAATCTATTACCATGAATGTTAGTTCCGTTTCCTATCATCCTCTGTTCATGAACATCGCAACGAATGTTAGAAATTGACCATGCAGGCGATGTAATGGTTTTTTGTCTTTTTTTATTTTGTGTTCCATCTACGCTTTCGACTATACCAGTAAGCTTGTAGAACGACGTACATTGTAGAACATTGTAGAACGACGCACACACTTGTCTCGAATCTCTCCAGCAGAAAAAGCATACGAAGTCGAGCATTTTTATTTCGTGTTGCATCTACGCTTTCGACTATAGGTACCAGTAAGCTTGTAGAACGACGCACATTGTAGAACATTGTAGAACGACGCACACACTTAACTCGAATCTCTCCAGCAGAAAAAGCATTCGAAGTCGAGCATGCGAGAAAATGAGCGCTTCATGTTTGCTTTTAGGCTGACCATATTCAGAAGCATGGAGAGAGCAGTGGAGAAAGCACAGGTCTGATAGTCGCAACGTCCGTGGTTCGAGTCAAGTCGGCAACCTTTTTTCTATTTTTTTCGACATAATTAATTTCACTCACTAATACAACTCCACATTTTTCGGTCTCCAATTTTCTTACATCGGACCGCAGCAAGGTATATCGCATCCTCGGTTCATGCGGTCTCCACTTACATCCTCTGATGATGAATCCCACATAATTGTAAGCGAATCTTACATCCACCGGTTGGGTGTACAACGAAATCGCTCGTTTGTTCTACGAATTTATTCGTTGTTTTCTGCAACGAAATGGATTTGTACATTGTATGAAACTAGTTTCATTAGAACTGCCACACTCGCTATCTGCCAGCGGTCCACAAGTGTTGGTTGTGGAAACCGAAAAATGTGGAGTGTGTTAGTGAGGATGGGTAAAAATAACTTCATCATTGGAAGGAATAAATATGACAAAAAAAATAAAAATAGGGTTCAGACCGGACTCGTTTCATGAACCTTGCGATTGTTAGATGTGTGCTTTATCCATCGCTCTATCTGTGCAATGAGAATAGTTAAAGCTAAAGGCAATAAGAAGCACTCATGGAGCGGTAATTTCGAAAAAAAATATCCCATCTCCAACACACAATCAGCTCTTTAGGAGACAATAAGCGCAGTTGTTGGTTTGATTGTACGAAGATGTATTTGTATATTATACGAATAAGGCGTAATATTGACATTGCGCCAGATGACAGGAAAAACGAATGTTTCGTACCATTTATGAAAGATGTGTTGTATGTACGATATTCATTTTTACGAAACGGTTTTCAGAGAAATAACGAAAATACAGTTTCAGTGCAATAGTAACGTCCCAATAACGCGTACATCTAGATAAAATTGATAAATAGCAGATTTTTATCGATGGGCCCAATCTTAGATCCATGGGCCAACATTAGAGACATTTCCCCTATATTTCAAATCAAAAATATTGTTTATGTTCATAGATTTCACATAATCCTTTCCCCCTTCTCCTTTTCCTTTTTCTTTTCTCTTTTCAGAAAGCGAGTAATGGCGCTATAGCCATAAGTCATAAAAGGCTAGGACAAGAGTTAGTGCTCAGTAAAAATGCACAAATGCACACAATGAACATTTCAGCTGATTTCATGGTACTTATTAACCTTTCTACAGCAGCTTTTCCGATGATATATGGTACCATTACACTTCAAAATGGTGCAAAGCGGTGCATACTAAGGAGCATTTTCAAATGTATAATGTACAGTTTTCTCTATTTTAGGGAGCGTACTTTAAATATTTACTGAGCATTTTAGATTTTTAACGTATTTTGATCAATCATTTAAGGAGCAACCCGATCTATTTTATGGAGATTTTTTTCACTTATTAAGGAACATCGTCATTGTTTAATGATTCATTTACCTTTTTACCGTGCAATGTAATCATCTTCTTCTTCTTATTCGCATTTCAAGCTTATTGCTTAGTGCATATTAGCTTTTTTGCGTGCTCTCAACTTAGTATTCTAAATGCACTTCCACAGTTACAATGTAATCAACCTTTATGAAATACATCCTAATGTGCTATTAAGGGTATGCGATATATCGAATTATTCCGTTTATTTCGCTTCGAAAAGGAATTCCGTGTAGCTTCGCGGAATACTTTAAAGCTGTTTCGCTAGTTTCTTCTTTCGTTTCGTTTCGCTTAGAGTAGAAAATTTCGAGTTTAATTTTTCAATGTTAACGGAAAGTAATGGAATTCCGCGGAATTTCATCTAATTACAATATCGCTATTTACATTTTTTCTGAAAACGAAGACGTTCATAGAATATATTGTCCTCTAAACCTGGTAGAGATATGGCCAACCAAGTGAAATTCATTTTCTGCTTAGTGAATACAGGGCTTGCCCAATTTTGTCAGCCCCTCTTCACGTTAGGTTTTTTTTTTTTATTTATTTATTTCTTATAAATATATATATGCTTTACAATCGCCATCAAGATGGATGTTTTTGACATGTGTTAATGCAATAAAATCTTCGGAAAAGTGAAGGAATTTTAAATATAAATGTGAAAGGTAATCAAATAGGGCTGTCACAATCAGGAATGCTGTCTTTATATATTTTGTGTCTGATTTCTTCGTGCTTACTTACTTTATTTCAGTAAATGTTTCCTTCTTTTGTAAGAAATATGCAAATTGCCAGTTATTGCATGGGCTCTTAACATTGAAAGTTGTTATAAGTGATAAGCGCTTGAACATTAACAGTTTTTCATGATGCCCATAAAAAGCGATAGAATCTTCCTTATAACATAGCGAGATTAGTAGATAGCAACAAATGTTACTGAACATTTGTTCTAGCCTAATACCAGGACTACAAGACTATGCAGAATTTTGTATGATGTTCAATTGTGTTTAATCAAAGATGTTAAAGTTATGCATACAAATATTTAAAAAATGTGAGTTTGCTCAAAATAACCTTACTTGAGAGCAGGCATAAATTCAAGTTGGAACGTCATAAGTCAAGATAAAGGAAAGAAAAAACAATACCACAGTAACCTCCAGGAACCAACATTGTCTAGAGCAACAGTTGTGACTAGATTCCGAAATTTCATTCATTCATGAACTCTAATCTTAGCAATAATTTTATGACTCTCCACAGTCCCGCACCTTCCTGTATTTCTCTCATCTCCAACCTATGAACGAACGAAAACGAAAATTTACCCAACTCCTAAGAAGCAACATGCGAAACAGTTCAAACCCGATAGAAAAAAGCTGTCACTCGCCATAAATAATAAGCTGAATAAAAAACTCCATATCTTACCTGAAACGTCACTATGTCCAGATTGGCCAACGTTACCAGAAGATTAAAGGTAGCTGCCGCCAGCGAAATTGTTCTTGGTGGAATGCATTCACCTGCGGGAAAAAGAAGAAAAGATGAAAACCACGCGCGGTTAATGGGTTCGTTTTCTTTATTGTAGCTATCCGAAGAAAGAGAGAGAGAGATAGAGAAAGTAATCACATAAAACAATGTGAAAAATTGCTGTTATAGCGCTAAACCCAAACAACTCAAGGGTTATACTCAGCGCGATTGTAAAATTGCGCTCCAAAGAATCGTAGGTAAAACACACCCAATTATTCAAATTATTTTCGGATTTGAGGCTGCTCTCTGCTGTCTGGGGGTGCGCGAGGTTTCGGAATTCAAAAGAAATCCGGCCGGCATCTGATAAAAGCGTAATAATTTTAATTAAATTATCCCATTTCCGGTAGTTACTGGCCGAAATATCATAATGACGAGTACGAGTAGACTGCTGGATGGACCGCCTAAGCCGCGAGAAAAAAGGTGCTACCGCGCCGCCAGAGGCTTTCCGTTTCTGATCTACATGCCTTGCTTGCGGCCGACCGGCCAGCTTTGTCGAACATAAGGCCCGCCTAGAGAACGTTACTCATATGGGTATATTCAAATGGTACCGAGAAAGGATGAGAAAAGCACACATAAAACTTATCGGAATTACCGAAATTGAGCAATTCTCACGTTCCGATTTCAGCGCCTTTCGGGTGGATTTGTTTTGAAGGCGTACATGTGCACGTAGCGCAGAGCTTCGGTCCGTGTATGTTGTTTGCACCCCGGGACCGTGCGGAAAGTCAACGGATTAACCAAATAAAAGCAGAGCAAACTCGGGGCGGGTAAATACTTCGGAAGTAAATATGGCCCGCAGCCGCAGATGGGAGAAAAACAAAACTCGAGCCCGGGTCTGTTGTTGTACCGAATCAAACAAGAAGTTGGCGAGAACCGGATAAAAGGTGTAGGAAGGTGTCTTACCGATAGGCACGATGGTGGCGTACAGCAACGAGACTGATCCAAACAGTTCTGTCGATTTGACCGTCGATAGGAACTTGGTAACGTCGGGACCTGCGATGGAAGCACACATTAAGAAAATTGCAAGAACTGGTTTTACGTGCCAGAGCCCTTACCTTTTGGACATAGTTCTGCTAGCTTCGTCAGCAGTCCGAGCGAAGCTAGCAGAGATAGTACCAGACTTTGTTGACTCTCCACCGATTCTCGGATTTTGTTGAATTTCCTAATTAATATGTCTACCAAACCTAATGATACTGTGTAACTGCAAAGAGAAAAAAATATGAAAATGTATAAGATTTTTAGTTGATTCATTGTTGAAGTTTTTATTTGATTTTTTTTATATTAAATAATTGAATCTCTAAAACACAGAACGGTAAAGCTGCAAAACATCGAACTAACAGGAAGTCGACGTAAGAAAAACAAATGGAACTTGAGTAATTTGTCAGATATTTAAAATATTTTAAATATACTGCGAGATCTCGTTTTTGGCAACACAACCGCTTCATTGTGTTGTCAAATTCGAAACCGTGCCAAAATCGAGATCTTTTTCGACGTGTCAGTGTTTAAATTACTTAACAATAAGAATCAATTCTCTAAGCGATCCTGATGAGAACTATCTATATATTTCTTCTAAAACCTTTTGTCGACGGGTATGCTGCGGAAGAGTGTCGCATGATCGCGGAGGTCCGATGAATTGTACGTCCGATGAATTGTACGTCCGATGAATTGTACGTCCGATGAATTGTACGTCCGATGAATTGTACATCCGATGTACGTTTTCAAACGATCCTGATCGAGGAGGTAATTCTATGTGATTACCTTCGATCGCCTATCTGAGTTGAACTAGCGTACATCTAAAAATCTAATAAATTAAGATTTTAATGGATCGTCTGTTTCTAAACACAACCACAGGATGTATCAAACCGAATCCATTTGAATAGCTTAATATCACCGGCCTTGAACAATCATTGTGCAAAGTATATTTTTTCCATGATTTGTTTTCCGTCGATCTTGTTTTCCGTGCTGAGCACCAATGCTACCGACGCCAGGGAGGCAGCTCCCACACCTGGACCCTACCTATCGAACCATTACAACTAATGAACCGGGAACCAAAGCTTTACTTCCGTGATCAGAGATGTTATGCCTCAGAACATCCCGGCGGCGCCGACTGGCATTGAGCCCAGGCCTGCTGGGGTGAGAGGTAATCGCGCTTACCACTACACCACCGGCGCCACTTTTGTTCAAAGTAGTTTATTGTTATAGGATGTCCCAGAAAGTATAAACACACTTTCAACTCGCCGCCATTTCTACCCCGATGAAGTTTATCAACTGTTCATCGATGTGTGTTTATTTATTTATTTAACGTAAATAGATCGTGCACAAATAATGATGTACTATTCCCAACCTATAGGAAGAAAGCTGGCGAAAATGTAGGAAGTATGTATCGGAGCAGTCCGAACCGCCACCCACAAGTTCGGTGAAGAAGTTGCCTTCGAGGACATACCGAAATCTGGCCGTAAACCAGGACCGGTGGACCGAAAACTGGACCGGAAGATCACCCAAGCTTTCGTCAATTAGAAAAGTGCCTCTGAGATTTGGGCAGAAAACTGAGAACATCGAAGAGTAACGTCCAAGGCAAGAAACGGGCTGAAAACGTTCAAGAAACCGAAACGGAGTCAGAAACAAGCCGCATCCGTCAAACCGAGGGCTCGGAATCTATATGATAGCCTGCTGTGTGGAAAATTGGCGTGTTATCATGGACGACGAAACATACGTCAAATTTAACTACGAGACGCTTCAGGCAGATCAATACTATACAGTCCGTGATGGTCAGGAAATTGACGATGCCGATAAGTCATTTTTTAACAAAAATTTTGGTAAGAAGGCTATGGTTTTGCAAGCGTGGTAAGTTGTCAACGCCATTTGTGACGAAGGAGACGATGAACACTGAAATTTACGATCTGGTGTGTTTGAATCGGCATCCAGGCTTGATGGAACCTCACTCGCGAGTTTGAAATAAGCCGAGCGTAGCATTTTTCTGAGGAGTAGAATGCCTACTGCCAAATCATTCCACTGAGCTTCAGAGCTGAAGTTCACTCTCATTCTCTCACGAGAAGTTTTTGTTTACTTCTCCCATATTCCTGCCGCCACTCACTCGAGGGCTGGCTAAACTCGCAGGACAAGAGTTTTTTTTTTTCAAACCTCCAGTGAGTTTGAGGAGTTTCAGCAAGCCTGTCGGCGGCAGCGTTGGTGATCCGTCAATTCGTGTGCCGGAATGCACTGCTAGAAAGACACGGTAGCTTGGTACAAAGCAAACAATGTGCAATACGTACCAGATGTACGTATGTACGTACGAGATGTTTGGGCCCTTTTCAAGGGATATCGTCGGAAACACTTTAAGGGCAGCGAATTCAATCGAAGAATTTGAAAAAGACTGGACAACAATGGCCAAAATTATCGCCAAGAAATCTGTGCTGAAGCTCGTGTTGAGCGTCCAGCGAATCCAAACACATAAAGCAACCAACGATAAAGACAAAACGGTTGCTACTACTACCACGATAAACTCTCTCTGTAAAATAGCTTGCTTGAAGTTGTAGAAGACGAATTTCTCGCTAACTCGACAAAGGAATTGGCAGCACCCTCTCAGATTTCAATGAAACTTTGTGGGTGTGTAGATTCCGTCTACTTAAGCAACCTTGCATACTTATTTAAAAAAAACGCTAGACCAACATTTAAAAAGGGCGGAACTTTTTTTTTTATTAATACTTTCTTCCAAAAATTATTACTCCATAATGTCAAGTCCTACAAAAATGTTGCTAAAAATGATTTGTAGATAAATAAATGAGCTTGCATAATAAAATAACAAAACACTGAAAAATGTATTGCTACACTGAAGAATACAATGTTTAAAATTTAAAATTAAGATTTCTCAAAAATGCCATTTTTTTTTAAATCGGAATTTTTTTCTCCAGATAGGCAGACCATTTATCTATAACTCGTTCAGTTATTTAACAAAAATTTTATCGTGTTCGCACTGAATAAAATCAATGATTTTTTTTAAGTGTAGACATGGAAAATATTGAAATGTTGAGACTCATGTGAAACCTACCACTCAACCGGATTTCACTCAACAAGCTCCAAATGAAAGATACACCAAAAAAGATATTGAAGACGTTTTCAATCCTAATGTGAATGATATAGAAAATTTAATTTTAATGTTATGTTTAATTGGCAGAGTATGAAAAAATTGTGGTCTTATTTCATAAATTTTTATTTTATCTTATTTAGAGAATTATTTCTTAACGTTGTCAAACAGAGTAATTTTTTTTTAATGCTGAATTAGAATATTTTTTAGCTGCAATTTGATTATCGGCAATAGGCTGAAAACTGTTAAATTTTTGTATACCAGATATCGTTTTTACGTGGTGAAACAAATCTTCGGGTTCTTCTGACATTTTTTCGTTTTGCTCAGTAGATATATAACAGAAATTCAATTTTGTGACGCTTTTCTCTGTTTGTTTAACTGCCCAGTCTTAGAGCTCTCGTGGGGTTGCTATAGTATTTCCGTATTCTTGGGAAAGGCTTGCTCTTTTGCCATTCGGTTTAAAGTTCCACCAAAAACATCACAGGGACCTTTGTCATGAGAAGTTGCAAAGAAATGCCAATCTGCTTCCAATTTGTGCATTGATTTGAAGTTACATAGCCTGGCAAAAAAAAATCTGTTCTTTTAATGAGCAGCTGCTCCATCTGACATAAATGTAATTTTGGAGAAATCTATTGATAGTTTCAAGAATTCTATCAGTTTTAAAATGAACAATTGAACTGCTATGGTATCATGGGCCAAAACCTCTGATATTATTATAAAACTAACGTTTTCTATTTTACTGTCCTTCATATAATAAACCACAAAAGGGTGAATAGTTGCCTGAGCGTTATTCCAATGGTAACCCTGAGCAGCATTCTGAATAATAAGTGAATAGTTCTCAGAGAAAATGCAAATTACAATTCATTCATCTTCTTTTAGAGAATCTTTTTTGTTCCTTAGAAATAAAGACTGTTCTTTACAAATAAAGTCATGAGTGAATAACTTATCAATTTTATCTACGAAGTACGTGGCAAACTCATCTGCAGGTTTCATATTGTTCTCCAAGTTACAACGATCCGTAGTTAGCCACTGCCCTTTTCGAATGTTGGTCTAGATTTTTTTTAAAGAAAATAAGTATGCAAAGTTGCTTAAGTAGACGAAATCTATACACTTAAAAAGTTTCATTGACAACCATTTGTCGAGTTAGCGTGAAATTCGTCAGAAGGATAATGATATATTGCTTGCCAAAACGGCGCCGGTGGTGTAGTGGTAAGCGTGATTACCTCTCACCCCAGTAGACCTGGGTTCAATCCCAGTCGGCGCCGCCGGGATGTTCTGAGGCATAACATCTCTGATCACGCCTTCCTTCGGATGGGAAGTAAAGCCGTTGGTCCCCGGTTCATGAGTTGATGGGTCGATAGGTAGGGTCCAGGTGTGGGAGCTGCCTTCCTGGCACGTCGGTAGCATTGGTGCTCAGCACGGAAAACAAGATCGACGGAAAAAAACAAACCAAAGGAAAAAAAAAAAAAAAATTGCTTGCCTGCTTTGTCCATTAACATCCCATTAACGCACGTGTATCATCTTCGGCTTTACTTCGTGAAGCAGCTTGCGATAATTTGGTCGTTTCCTTCTACCGACCCGAGCGAGCTTCATCGGCATAGGCCGTTTGTCACGAAAAAAAGGAAGAAGATTATATCATTATTGCTTTCCATTGCTGACATTCGGCTCGTTGGTAGCTTGTCATTTTGTCATTTTGAGATATATTTGATTAATTGGCAGCGTCAGATCAAAAGTTCGCTCCTAGGCATACGATTGAAGGAACTGCGGATTATTTTCATCCAATTGAAAGATAAAACTATAGAGAACCTATCATGCCAGCTCAAGTGTATTGTACGAAATATGCGTAATGTTGGAATTGTAATTTGACGACGCACAGTGGGACGAAATCATAAAAAATGACATGCCTTTTTTTTGTACTTGATAGTATTTGAGTGGTGAAAGTTTTTGAATAAGGGGGGGGGGGGGTATACACTAAGATAAAAAAATAACTTGTTTATGTCTTGTTAAAATCGATAAACATCTATAGAAACATTGTAGATTAAGTCATTTTATGAAACTTTGTCGTAGACGATAATTTTCTATCTCTCATGAGGACGAAGTTATGAGGTGAAAATGTA